TTCAGAAAAACCAGTCAAGGGCATTCATAGTAGTGGGAGCATGGGCTTTGTTTCAGCTAGAATACCCAGAACACAGTAGGTTAAGAGAACCAGTATTCCATCTGTAAAAGTCTCTCCAGATTATCTGCTTCACATGGAGAGTGTCATTTGTTCTCAGGATGTTCCAGGATCGGGCAGTTCATTTCAGTGGGAGCCGGTGGAGACAGAGAACAGGTCAGTGGCAAACTTAGCCATGACTGATGCGTTGGAGCTAACGAAAGCTTCAACTGGCCTTCAGGTTAATTGAAGAGAAGGCCAGGGTAACTAGAAAGGAGTTAAGATCAAATACAGATGCACAGTTAAAGCACAGGTGAAGATTGTTCCGTGGCTTCAAGTGAGAGATTGTTGAATGTGAAGCCACAGCTGGTCAAAAATGGCAGGAACAATGTGAAGTTGTGAAGCCACAATTGTTGAATGTGAAGCCACAATTGTTGAATGTGAAGTTTTTTCAAAGGTTGGCTGAAGACCCTATTGTGTTTTTTGACTACTTCTGATTTCCATCTCTATATAAGAGATTCATCTGTATTTGTAAAACTTGTATCTAGTGTAACACAGAAAGAGTGCAGATTAGCACCAAGAAATGTAAATTCCTAGTTACCGGTGGACGTAGGTCAAAGAAAGACCGAACCACGTTAAATCCCTCGTGTTCATCCTTGTGTTCTTGTTTTTCGTGAGCTCTGTGTGTGTTTAGAGTCGTGTGTTAAGTGTCTCGATCCTAACAGATAGACCAAAAAGGAAACATAGACTATTAATATGGGACGGAAGGAGTAATAATTAATTTGATCTCACTATTGCTTATAAAATTAACATAATACTAAGCAATTCAGATTAACAAATTGGATACTTTTAAAACTTTACAGAAACAAATGATATTACAAGAATGGATCTCCTCCAAAGTAGGATCGATAATACTATAAAATTTACATAATGCTAAGCAATTTAGATTAACAAATTCGATACTTAAATAATTACAGATTGAAAATTTACGGAAACAAATGAAATTACAAGAATGGATCTCCTGCTAAGTATGATCGATAGTACTATGACCTAATGACCATAATAATATTTTTCTAGTTAAACTACCTAGTAGAACTCTGAGCATGAAAGAACAAATAAACCAAACATAATGAATGTAAGTTGGTATCAAAACTTATGGGCAAAAGCATAATCTCACTTTGAGGAGTCATCTAACTATTTATACTTCTTTTTATCTATATTCCCACATCCATAAACACCAAGTCGTGTTAATTTGCATGATAAAAAAAACCCTTTATCAAAGTTCATATGAACTAATTCATAAATACATTCTATCCAAAGGCATTACCCGAAGTCCAAACCAATGAACCAAAAAATAAAAAATCAGTGCACAAGTCCCATGCAAAAAGGCTGATTGTGACTAGGATGACTGAAACAGACTTAAGAAGTAAAGATACATCTCAATTATCCGAACTCCTCACAATTCAGATAAGAC